GGTTCTGGGTAATTTGAAATTGTGCGACTAGGAATAATTGTTTTACACATTTTATAATCTTTAAAATGACTATGAAATCAAAATGGATGATTCTTGTTTTTGTTTTTTTAAATAAAATACAATTGCAGCAATTAGTAAACGACAACAATCCAATCAGTTTCCAATGGATAAAATCAAGTTCTGCCATACATCTCTCCTCATTTCTGAAGCCGTTGAACTCAGATAAACATCAATAGAGTAGTATATATACATATATATATATACTACTCTATTGATGTTTGTTTCAAGAATTTTACTTGATGTACTAAAATAAATAAAACTAAATACACTATAACTAATTAATACAAACTATGAAGACACATAGTCAAAAAACTAATACAAATGACTAAAACTTGAAAATATACATCAAAACAAAATAGTAATAAATTCAAAATATTAACAAAAGCTATAATAGTATATCAAAATACTAAAATAACACTGCATTAGAGAAGAAAATTTCCATTTCATGTTGACTTTTTACATTCTGTTTGCTGAAACAGTTTTGGCCTGTTTGTTACCATAACATTATACTCCATGAAGTTTCTTAACTGTGTGCTTGATGCTTTTTCGTAACCTCAGGTGTGGCGTATTATAACAAAGTGATCGACGACTTGATTGCTCGTGGTGTAACCCCCATGATCACATTGTACCACATGGACTTACCACAGGCCTTACAGTATCTTGGCGGATGGAGCTCGACAGAGATTGCAGACATCTTTGAAAGTTATGCCAGGTTTTGCTTTAAGATCTTTGGGGACAGAGTGAAGCTCTGGATCACACTGAACAAGCCCTATGTTTGTGCCAAGCTGGGCCATGAGGATGGGACCTTTGCCCCTGGGATCAAATATCCAGGAATATCAGTTTATTTGGCGGGTCATAACATGCTGCGCGCCCACACCAAAGCCTGGCATACTTATAATAATTATTTCAGGCCTTTACAAGCAGGGCAAGTATCTCTTGCCCTGAACAGTGACTGGGCAGAGCTGTTGGACGCAGGCCATGCTAAACATGCTGCAGCCACTGAGCGCTAAAAGGACTTCACTCTGGACTGGTTTGCCTGTCCCGTGTTTTGCACAGGAGATTACCTAGAGTCCATGATGTCCAGGATTGAGTCTAGGAGCTTGGATCTGGGATACAAGCCGGGCTCAAGGCTCCCACACTTTTCAAAGGATGAGCCCTCTCCTCTGGGCATGGCGGATTTCTTTGCACTGAATTATTACATGTCTCGGAAAGTAAAATATTTAAATGGTGGTAGTAAGAAGAATGAGCTCAGTTTTGTGTGCGATCAGGGGGCAGAGGGTGTTGTTGACCCATCGTGGCCCATTTGTGTGGTGCACTGGTTGGCCGTTGTTCCTGGTGGATTGCGGAAATTGCTCAAATATATAAAGGTACTTTCATATCTACACTAGGGGTCGACCGATATATTTACTGATTATTACAGATCAAGTAGACCGAGAACCGATATATGTAAAGATGAAAATTGATGTCAAAATTAAGAATAACAAGGGCTCTGACAAAAACTCTTTAAATGCTTTTAAAATAATTTTATCGGCAAATCGGTTTTTGGAAATGACCGATACCGATAAGCATAAAAAATCTTACTATCGGTGCCGATAATCGGTCGACCCCCAATCTACACATTATATTTAATTGGGTGTATATTCATTATATAGGGATATATATTGGCATATTAACAAAATCATAAGCATTTGCTTGTTTCTTTAGGACACATACACCAGTCTGCCCATTTATATCACAGAAAATGACTTTCCCCAGATGGGGCCGGTTCAGATAGAAGATACCGACCGTTCCCAGTTCTATCAGGACACTGCAGGAAGTTGGTAAAGGTACTGTCATATTAACACTGCTCAATGTGTAATAAAATACAGAGAGCAAAGTTAATTTTACAAAGTTAGACTATAATG